CTCGCTCTCCTCCTCTGTGTGTCTCCGTCTCGTTATCTCTGCCTCCGTCTCTGTGGGAGAGAAACTCGTAGAACCGTCTGTCCCCTGGCGTGGAGGTGGCCGCGCGCTCAAGTTCTCATGGAGGCGGCAGGAGGCAGAGCGGCCGGCCGGGGAACTGGGTGTCCAGCAGGGGCAGTTGGGTAATGTGCCACTTCTGCCCCTTTGACACAAACCCTGTGGCATGGGCTCAGAGGTGTGGGTGGGGAGGGGCGCCCCTGTATGGAAACGGCCATGTATAGGGGACCAAGACAGAGTCCTACCCGGGCACCAGTCTGCAGAATAGAAATTTCTAGAAACTTCACTCTTGAGCTTTCTGGACGTTCCATTGGTCTAGAAGGGCAAGAAACAGCCGCCCCTGCCCCTCTCGCAACGGAAACCCTTCACATAAATGTAAAATCACCTGCAAATTAAAACTCTTTATTTCTCTAGAAAGTTTATTGTAAAAAAAAATGTTTTCCCCAAGCTAGTTGTAACACACTATCAGGAACCCTGATGGCGCAGGGCTTAATGCGTTTGACTGTCAACCAAAAGGTCAGTTCCAACCCACCAGCTGCTCCACGGGAGGAAGACGAGGCTGTCTGCTGCTTTAAAGATGAGAGCCTCAAATCCTGGGGGCAGTTCTGCTCTGTCCTGCGGGGCTGCTGAGAATCCCAGTGGACTACAGGGTGGTGGGTTTTGGGGAGCTGGTACACTGTGATTGTGAAATTACACATTAGATTGACATTTCCCCCAAACCAAACCAACAGCCATTCATTCCTAGCGACCCTGCAGGGTGGGGTAGAACTGCCCCTGTGGGCTTCCAAGGTTGCCTTTTTAATTTAGACAGCAGCTACTATGTGTGAGACATGGAGCTAATGGGCACAGGAGCACATTATACAGAGGACACCAGGTGTAGCCTTTGTCCTCATGGAGTTCACCTTCCGATGAAGGAAAAGAAATCAACAAGCGACACCTGTCCACTCTGTAGGCTGGCCGAAGTAACTGCCAATTCTCTGTTTAGGCTGGTGGGAAAGGCCTCTCGGAAGCCTGCAGAGTAGGGAGGCTGGAGAGCCTGGGGCGGGAGTGATGAGGATGATGAGGGGACCATGTGAGTGCAGGTGGTCCACAAGGGGTGCAGTGGGATGTGGGGGAACCAGACAGGCCAGAGCCGCTGGGTCTGAAGAGGCCTTGGCGAGAAGTCTGGATTTTATTCAGAGTGCTGCAGGAAAGGTAATAAGCAAGGGAAAGGCAAGATTTAGGTTTTTAAAAGATGACTGTCAGTTGGAGAAGAGGAGGCAGCAGGAGAACAAGTGGAGTGCACTTAGTCATGGAGAGGAGGCAGAGCAGATTCAGGAGAGAGCTGGGAGGTAGAATTGGCAGGAGCTAATTCCTCTCCTCACTTTGGTGGAGGAGAGGAAATGTGTCCTTGAGGACAAGATGGACCACAGTGGAATATACTGCCGCAGCCCCTGGTTCTCAGGCATGGATAGTAATTGTGCTCACAAGAGTGACAGCACCCACCTCTCCGTGGCTGTGGGCAGTACCAGAGAGTCAGTAAAATTTGCCTGTCATCCCCTCATGAAACCTAAACAAGAGACGGGAAGGTGCTGGGTGGAATGGGCCTGGCCAGGTTGGGTTCTGGGTCAGACACTAGTTCATCCTTCAGAAGCTGGAGGAAGGCTTAAAGCTCAGGGGATTCTGGAAGGCCTGTGGTGGAGGAGCTGCCACAGATGGCTGTTGTGTGGGTAATACAACAGGCAACCCCGACTCTTACCTGTGACATTCCTACCACTGGACCTATTTATCTCCCACTCTAGTTAATACCTGGTCTCAAAACTGTCACATCTGTGCCCACATCTAGCCTTCTTTTCATTGTTCCTCTTGTTCTCCTGCATGCTGGGGATAGCCCCCACCCAACCCTGTCCTAGATACAGGCCAATCCATTCAGGCATAAACCAGGCCACCACAGCTCTCCAGGGGAGGTGTAACAGGCTTGGGCTGGGTGATAGCATCCAAGATAGAAAGGAGGCATAGTTAGAGATATTTTGAAAGTTGAAGGACAGCTAGTTGATGACTGATGTAATATTTGTAACACTGCATTGAGCTCTTTATTGTATGTCAGTTTTGTATTTCTCAAAATGTCCAGGCAGAAAAGTGGTTTCTGTGGACGGTGGCTGAAGTATACTGTTCTGTATGTTGAATAACAGGAAAAACAGAAGGAACTTCAAGGACACCATATCACGAACACCAGTGACCAAAGGACCACGCAATGCTAAGGGGTAAATGTTTGGAGAATTCATTTCACCTGTAGTTGGGTTGTGTTTTCACACAAAATCCAGCCCCGGAGTAATTCACCCTCTTCAGCCTTCAGTGTCTGGCACTAGGCAAGCTGCTAGCATGTTTGCTGAGTAGGTGGATAGGTGGATGGCTGACAGCTTGGCAATCGTATTAAAAGAGTGAAGTTGCATCGAGCGCCGCCAGGCTAGATGATAATGACTGGCAGCGCTGTCTTTTATTGAGAGCCTGGAGACATCGAGTCACTTAATATGCTTCACTCCAGTTGTCTCACAACCCTGTAAGGGAGAAATTACACACGGTTTATGAATAATGATATGAAAAAGCAGTGATTAACTGCAAGGTCGGTGGTTCAAACTGACCAGCTGCTCTGCAGGAGAAAGACAGGGCTGACTGCTTCCATAAAGATGGCAGTCTTGGACACCCATGGAGCTGTTACATTGTCTCCAGGGTCACTTCTCAGCATCTTGTCTTTGTTTTAGGGTCATACTGACCCTTTGATCTCATCTAGTTGATTATATAGGCAATGTTAGTTGAATCAACCCATCGACAGTGCATTTTATCAAGTGAGAATCTATAGTTTGGTGCAGCTTACAGTTTTCAGTAGTAGCTCCTGGATGGCACATGCGATTACGTGTTTGGCTGTTAGCTGGAAATTGGTGGTTAGAACCTCTTTTCAAGCACTTCAGAAGGAAAGCCTAGCAATCCATTTCTTCAAGGTCATACCTTGGAAACCCATTAGAGCAGTTCTACTCTGCACACGCTGGGTCGCTGTGAATCAGAATTGACACAACCACTAACAACAACAGGCTCAGTGCCATCAGGTCTTCTGTAAGGGTGATATTGCAGCACATGTCACCATTTCATCCAGTTCATTGTTGTTGAGTGCTTTCTATATGCAGTGTAGCATTGGAATAAACCAAAACATGCCAGACACCACTCTCAGAGTCATTAAAGATCATTGCCAACCCCACACAGTCAGGCCAGATGCATGATTTGAAGTGTTTACAATAGTTTTTTTAATTGAATTATCAAATGTCCAGTTGAATCATCTGTCATCTGAAACCCTAACTGTATACTCAGAAGTAGCCAAATAGGTTTTGGGAAAGTGGAAATTAAAAATTGACCCCTCACAACATCATCTAGAACTATAAAGAACCTTTTTTTTAAAAATCATTTTATTAGGGGCTCATACAACTCTTATCACAATCCATATACACACATCAATTGTGTAAAGAGCATTTGTACATTCATTGCCCTCATCATTCTCAAAACATTTTCTCTCCACTTAAACCCGCGGCATTAGGTCCTCATTTTTCCCCTCCCTCCCCGCTCCCCCCTCCCTCATGAGCCCTTGATAGTTTATAAATTGTTATTTTGTCATATCTTGCCCTGTCCGACGTCTCCCTTCACCCACTTTTCTGTTGTCCGTCCCCCAGGGAAGAGGTCACATATAGTTCCTTGTAATCGGTTCCCTCTTTCCTACCCACTCTCCCTCTACCCTCCCTGTTTTGCCACTCACACCACTGGTCCTGTAGGTCTCATCCGCCCTGGATTCCCTGTTTTTTCAGTTCCTATCTGTACCAGTGTACCTCCTCTGGTCTAGCCAGACTTGCAAGGTCGGATTCGAGTCATGGTAGTGGGAGCGGGGAGGAAACATTTAGGAACTAGAGGAAATTTGTATTTTTCATCATTGTTACATCGATAAAGATCCTTTTGATGTGTGTTTTCTATAGGTTGAGTCTATGAATTTATGTTGAGCCATTGCAATGAAAGTTTTGCCAAGAATGAGTGGAATAGCAAGAGTGTTGGCCTCAAGAAATTATTACTATTTTTGAATCCTAGAATGCTTCATGGTTTATGCCAGCAATATGTTTTTTCTAAATTATATTTCCTAACATGCAGATAAGAGAATGCCAGGCTCCTTTGCTCCGCAGACGTTCACAGCCCTTTCCGGTCTCCATCCAAACCTGGCTAATCTGGTAGGGTTCCCTGAAGAGGGTGGTTTGGGTGCTCACTCATGCAGTTTTATGTGATCCTGCTGCATCAGGTTGGCATTACTGGTTCATGAACAAGCACAGGGATACTCACTGTGTTAATATCATGGTTAAAGATTAAGTACCCTAAGATGCTTTGTATTTGTGCCAGCGAAAAGAAAATTAATTGTTTCTTTGTCAACAGCAGGGGGTCCTCAAACTTTAAACAGGGGGCCAGTTCACTGTCCCTCAGACCCATTAGAGGGCCGGACTATAGTTTAAAAAAAACGATGAACAAATTCCTTTTCACACTGCACATATCTTATTTTGAAGTAAAAAACAAAACGGGGCAAAACACCTGGCGGGCTGGATAAATGTCCTCGGTGGGCCGTATGTGGCCGGTGGGCTGTAGTTTGAGGACTCCTGGTCTATAGAGTGAGAGAGAAGACTATAGAATATCAAAATGTTATTTATATCACTTTAATTATTGAATAGCTGCTAAAATTTAGCATAATAGTGTCAAGGCATTTTTCTTCAGTAGTAGCTATACTCTAATTCAGTTATGTACCATAAGTTATAGACTTAAATTATTGCCATTTATTTCTGTCTTTATGACAAAGTATGTAGCAGGTGTATTTCTGAAATAATTATGGAACAATTGGTGTTTGGGGAGGACCTGCAGGAGAATTCAGGGAGGCTTTAAGGTATAGGGATTAAAGTGCTTGGCTGCTGACCATAAAGCCTTGGGATTGGAACCCACCAGGTACTCCACAAAACAGAGATATAACAGTCTGCTTCAGGAGAGATTTACAGCCTTGGAAACCCATGAGGCAGTTTTACTCTGTCCTTTGGAATCATTAGGAGATAGGATTGACTGGCAGCAGTGAGTTTGGTTCTATGGGAGAATTCAGTAATTTCAAATACACTTATTTAAAAAAAATCCAAGTTGAATCATTTTATAAGGTGAAAAATACATACTTTGCTACCTCACCTTCTCCTGCCCTCTGGAGTTGGCTACTTTCTTTTGACTTTTGGAAGCTAGCCTTCTTAAACCAGGATAAATTGATGTATAACTTTAATAATTTCCAAGGTAAAGTTATTATTAAAAAGAACTGTCATTAAAGTTCTTTTCTTGAAAGGCAAACTATGTGCTAATAGCTTCTTTAGTTGGACATTTTTACTTGACATTTATTTTTTATTAGCTGTGTTTTTTCCTCAACAAAATTCAGTGCAACCTGCATGCATATGGAACTAGACCATTGCAGTGTGTCTAAATGCACCAGCCCATAGCTCAGCTAGGATGTGGGATTCTGAAGAGCTTGACATTTCAAAGCAACAGATCAGCACAAGCTCAAAATCTTCTGCTAGCCTTAGCTAGTTTAGGGTTATCTTCTCAGAAAAAACTAGGCATAGTTTTTGTTTTTTAAAGCACTCTTAACATGCAAACTTTGTTTGGTAGTCCTTGAAGAGAGCATTAGGCATGCTAAGGAAATGTTACTATCTTTAAGGTTGAAGATCTAGAACTTGATAACTTAAGATTTATCAGCAGCAAGATATAAGTTTTGCTATAATCTAATTTACATTATTGTCCAGCATGTTTGGATTAAGAAGCTAAGCAATTTTATGTGAATTGTTAGGAAACCCTATATAAAAGAAAGCTTTGAAGACCGTGGTAAATTGAATTGCATTATACATGTGCTTTGAATGAAATCCCTAGGATTGATAGCATAGGGCAGTTACTGTGCTCCACCTAGTGATTGAAAATAAAGTAGAAACATACTGTGTATTAGATGATTGTATTTGTAATAGCAGTGAACTGTCTTATTACTTTGTACTATTCCTAGTGGGATTGAACATTTATGACATTCTTTTAGATGTTGGTCTGGAATAAATGCATTTAAATGGGTCCTAGTCAGAAATGTTTGTTAGATTCAGTAAAACATAACAAGTCCATGAAATTAAATTTACCGTTTACATCTGTGTTTAATATTGGTCTTCTATAACCTTTTTGTTTTTCAGAAAATAATCGGTATAGTTATTGGGAAAACAGATGCCAAAGGCTTTCCAGACAGAAAAAGCTGAGTTTTATTTAACTCTCTGCCTCACATTTCACAAACTGTGATTTAGGGCTACAACAAAGTATATTTAAGTGATTGAATTATTCATGCATGTTTAACAATGGCTATGCTCTCTCTTGTATGGTAAAGGACGTGATTCAAGACCATATGTAGGAGGACATTCAAATAATCTTTAATGATTTTATTTGGTGCTTTTCTTCCTTTTTAAAACATTTTCTAAAGGTGTCTGTATTTTGTTTTAAATTCTTTTATTGGGGGCTCTTACAGCTTTTATCACAATCCATACATTCATTGTGTCAAGCACATTTGTACATATGTTACCATCATCATTTTCAAAACATTGGTATCAGCTCCTTTCAGCCCTTGGTATCAGCTCCTCATTTTTTCCCCTCCCTCTCCTCCCCTATTTGATGCTTTTCAAAGGTTATTTAAAAGGCTTCATTTCTCCGATGCCAAAATAGCTAGCTGGATCAGTCAGCTCGATTACTTGTCTCAGCCTGTGTTTGTTGGGAAGCCCCCACTGCATAAGGCCCTGGGATGCGAAGGTGAGGCTAACGGTGTCTCCTGGTGCCAGGAGTTGGGACTGCGCTGGAACAAGTGACCTCTCTAGTTACCAAGTGATCAAAGACCAACCTGTCCAGACCTCTGTCCAATGCTTCTGTGAAACGGGATTACAAGGGCCGGGGTAAAAATGAAACACACTCACTGGCCCACAGTGAGAACTCCAAGTTAACTTCCTTTCTGCCTGAATCTCATCTCAGATGGACAGTGAGGTGTCCAGGAAGGGTGTGCAGCGGGCAGGTGCTATGACAGAGTCATGTCTGAGGGAGAGAAGTGTGACAGCAGGATGTATGTACTCACTCAGGTGACCAGACCATCCTACCTGATTGCTAGAACATGAGATAGTATACAGATACTTTCATATGTGGAAATAGGTTAACTTTTGTTTCAGTGGGTCTTACTTGCTTTAAGCGCTTCAAAAGTTCTGGAACTATGGGAACATAATTCAAGACTGAAGTTGGATTTTAAAAAATCTGTTTGCCTTCAGACTTTTGTAGTTGACATAAAAAGACTATAGAATGCCTGACAGGCAATTCACAACTAGTCCTGAAAGTGCCATTGCTTGTGTCAAAGGTCAGAGCACAAATCCCTCTCCAGCTTAAGAGAATTGAGAGCACCAGCCAGTAATGTTGGTAGAGGAAGCAGTAATTTTGCTTGTATCATCTGAATGATTGTGGCTATGTTAACCTGACTTGTGCTAAATCATTGCATCTGAATCACAAGCATTATAATATCCACTTGTTACTGAGTTGATTCCAGTTCATATTAACCTGATAGGGCAGAGTAGAAAGTACCCACAGGGTTTCCAAGCCTTTAAAATGGGTACCTTTGTTTTACTTTATTTCATACTAATATTCGGTGTTTGTTTCTGAGGTGAAAGCGAAGATGCCATCTCCCATACGTACTAGACTAGTATTGACCATTTGAGCCATTTGATCTTCATGTCTGCCTGCTTTGTAAGCTCTTAAAAAGCCTACTCTAACATACATAGATTTTTTTTAAAGCCCTTATGAAAATGTTTGCTAAATTTACAGAAAGAACTACAATTTTCATCCATCAGATTGTGAGGGACACAAGCATTTCTGTATGTTTGTCTTCTCTTTACCTGATGGGGTCAAGATTCCTATTTGAGGAAGATAAGCTTTCTGATTTTCAAAAGTAGTACACATATGACATATGAATATACTTTCAGAAATTGCTGAACACACCAGCTCATAGGGTTGAAGAGTGAAATTCCTCTTTGTACCCCCATGTTTTCCCTGGCCTCCCTTCCTCCAATAGAATACTAGCAGCAGTTTGGGATGGATTTGTAATTTACCGTACTTAGGTGATATGGAGCCTTCGTGGCATAGAGGTTGCACATTGGACTGCTCACCACAAGGTCAGCAGTTTGAAACCATCAGCTGCTCTGGGGGAGAAAGATGGGGCTTTCTACTCCTGTAACGAGTTACAGTCTTGGAAACTCACAGGGCCTGCCTCTAGGGCAGCGAGTGTGCTTCTGTTGTGGATGGCTACGGAGAAGAAGAGCAGCTAACTACTGACCTCTAGTGGTACATACTTGCCAGCACAGAGTTGGTTTCCAAGCAGGACTTAGGTCAGAAGATGGGATAGAGAGTTGAAGCTCACAGCTGAGCGGCACCTCATGTCCCCCAAGCCCACCCACAGATTATGGGATAGACATAAAGAGGTGGGTCATAGGGGTGGTGTCCATGCTGGCAGCTTGTCATCATCTCATGTTGAAATCCAGAAAAACGTAACTTAGCAGAGTTTATATCTGAAATGAAATCTTCATTATCTTGGTTGAAGTTTGAAACAAAGCATTTCATTTGACAAATAAAAGCACTGGCTTTCCCATAGATATTGGATCAGAAAGATACACCCTGAGTTTCACTATGCGGGACTCACCAACCCACTTTGTGAATGTGACCTCCTGGGGCAGTGAACATTACATCCGAGGCCTCTCTGACAGCTTCCGAGTTGGCGACTGCTGTAAGTGGGTCTCAGTTCTTGAAAAGTTCTCTGTTACAGTATTGATCTTGGGATGTGTGTGTGGAAACTGCCTGCCAAGTGAAGATGAAATAAGACTCACTTCCTAAGTCTCAAGAACCGTATCAGAAAGAAGGAAAGAAAAAGAAACAGCAGGTGTTGATTTTCAGAGTGTTAGTGCAAAGTGATCAGAATTAGTACCTGAAATGCACACAAACATGATAGGCACATCTCTTCTCGGTAGTTTTGCAATCTTATTTGTTTTGTATTCAGTTGGCATCAAACTTAATGTTTTTATAATCATTACTTATGCAAGGGACCACTGAGTAGATGCTGATGAAAATTGATGTTTGACTCTTAATGGATTTTAAGGATCATGACCTTTAGTCCAGATGCCCCATGTTTGCACCCTCCACCCAGCTTGTCCTCTGACAGGGCAGTCCCAACAGTGTGCAAAGAGAAAGGACTTTGGAACAGGCACATCAGACTTATATCCCCGTGCCAACATTTGTTTACTCCTTCAGGTCCCTTGTTAATCCTGTTGAGCCTCAGCAAGAAAATAATTCCCCACTAAGTTCTTGGGAGTCCTGCTGACATGGTTACAAGATCAGCACTTCAAACCCACCATCCACACCACAGGAGCAAGATGAGGCTTTCTTCTCACATAAAGAATTACCGTCTGGGAAACCCACAAGGCCAGTTCTCCCTTGGCCTGTATGGTCACTGGAAGTCAGAACGGACTTGATGGCAGAGAGGGATGTTCTGGGGAATGTGAGCTGAGATAATGTGTCCAGTGGGAAGTGTAGGACTTAGTAACGCTCTAGGTGACAACCCTGACCCCACACAGGCAGGAGACGAGGGAGCACTCACACCAGCTCTCTTTCAGGGTCAGAAAGGAGGCAGGAGGGGAACATGGCAGGTTGCTGCCTCTTCAGCACTATGCCTCACCACCTGGTACCCAGTCACCTGGTGCCTGGACTGTTAACCTTTCAGGGTGACATGTAGGACTGCTCTAAGGTGTAAGAGCATCAGGCTAATATGGGGCCCAGCCCATGATAGCTTCCCATGAATGAGCATGGAGAGAAAGGTTGGCTTCAGTAGTAAACTGTGTGATGTGTTGATGGCTGTTGTGAGGATTCATGAGGGATTTTACAAGCCTAATGATCACTATAAATAGGATACTCATGATAAAAGTATAGATTTTCACTCGAGAAAAATGGGGCTTCAAATCCCAGCTCTAGGACATCCCCGGTCTCTAACTTTTAGAAAGCTTCTTTAACCTCTTGGTTCTCCAGTTTGGCCCATTGTAAAATGGGGACAGTGGTGGGATGGTTGTGTGAGGATTTACAGCAAAAGAGTTCACCCAGCCATCTGGAACCCAGACCTTAAAGTGTTGAGTTCTCAAAGGTGGTCAATGGTGGAGCCAGGATAAGTCCCATTGCTCTTGTGGCACCACTTTGTTTCTGAGGGCCCCTGCTGACAGGGCAGGACTTCACAGCAACATTGTGGTACAGAAGGTGAATTGTGCCCGAGCTGGGTATCACGCAGCTAGTCAGTACAGTCATGTGAATGGGATCACATGTGGGGACTGGGACATAATTATCTGGGTTCAAGCGGGTGGTCAGACTGCAGGATTCTATTTCTCAAGGTGGCATGAGAGGGTGACTGTGAAGGATGCACAGACTCACTCAGGCAGCAGTGTCACTGTTGCAGATATGGTGAGGTGCACGTGCTGCCAAACGGCTTCATGCTTTCCCTTTTGTCCTAGTGATCATTGAAAATCCACTGGTCCAAAGAAAGGAACTGGAGAGAGAAGAAAAATTCAGCCCTGCAACTCCTAGGTAAATTTCCATTCAACTCCAGGACCCACTGTGCTGTGATGATCTAATCGTGTGTGTGTGTGTGTGTGTGTGTGTGTGTGTGTGTGTGTACCCAGCAAAGCATTTACACTTCATTTGGAAATTGATGACTCTGCTTCATCTCTTGATTTATATGTGCACCTGGCACTTCTTTGCTGATGTACTCTGATAAGAGTCACATGGAAAAAGGCATCATTTCTAGTGCTTTGATTCTCACCCTTGGATTTGCACAAATTTGACTCTAGTGCCATTAAAGTGGGGCAACGAGAAGTAAGAACAAATCCTGAAAGTTACTGCTTTTCATATCAGGATAAAACTCTTCTCTTGTGTTGTATAGCCTAGTGTCAGACTTCTTGGAAGCAAAGCTGGCTAGTATGGACTTTTGTACCCAGCATTAGTTATTGGCTGCAGTCCATGTCCCCCAGGAGGGTACATTAGCTTGAAGGTGCTTCTGGCCAAGGACTGTGTCCTCATTCTCTAGCGCTACTGTGACAGAAATGCCCCACGTGGATGGCTTTAACAAGTAATGTATTCTCTGGGTTGAGGAGGCTTCCCTCTCTGTGGACTTACATGTTAGGGGAAGCTCCTTGTCTCAGTTCAGCATCCAAGACCCAGCTTTCTTTGGAGCTCTCCAGGTGTTTTGGTGTCAATCTTCCCAGGGCCCGGGAGTTTCTCTGCCCAGGGACCCCACTCCTAGCCAGGCCTTCCTGATGTGGGAGGCCCTTCCCTCTATGCTCATTTTTCTCCCTTGTAAGATAAAAGGGAACATGGACCCCACCCCAGGGGAACTCCCCTTAGACCACGGCCGGGATGGGGTTAAGGGTGTTGCAACTGATGGGTTATCATGTCTGAGCTCAGCCCCGGTCTTCATGTCACTGCTACACGGCACCATCACATAACAAACCTGCTGTGTCAGAGGGTCATGCTGCAGCCATGTTGGCACGTACGTGGGGGTACAGTTCCATGCCACGCAGGCAGATCTCAGAAGGATATGCCGCTTCAGCCCGGCACCAGACTGGAAAGGGGCCCATCCAGAGCGTTTCTCAAGGACAATTCCTTTGAGGCAAAGCATTGGACAACATTTTTTAAACGTTTCTTTAAAAGTGTACATTTTTAACATAATCTAAATTATAGCCTCCAAACTCACTATGACCATGGAAGCACTTTTCTGTGCCAGGATCATGAGTGCTTATTATACGTGTTTGCATTTTAGCAACTGGAAACTGTTGCTCAGCGAGAGCCATTCGACAGTCAGCGTCTGCACCAGTGACAAAGTGGACTCCAGCTTACTGGCCTTGATACACGTGCCCGTGAAAGAGCCTCATGACTATTATTCCCTGGGGGACATTGTGGCCAATGGACAAAACCTGGACGGGAGAGTCATTAACGTGTTGGCAGCTGTAAGGGCGGTGAGTTACGATTGGCATAGTGTGTTTGAGTGTGTGCCTGCAGGGTGTGTGTGTGTGTGTGTGTGTGTGTGAGTTGTGCCAATGAGATGTGTGTGTACAGGGCATGTGTGTATGTGAGTGTGCATATGAGTGTGTGTGTGCGGGGTGTGTATGTGTATGCATGTATGCGAGACCTTACCTGTGCATGTGCTCAGGAGCCTATAACTTAACCCTTTCATGACCAAATTCTTTTTTGCCTTGAATGTTTTGTGGAAGCCACACCACATGTTTTCAGTAATGGAAGAGACACTGAAATTGAGGGAAAACATTTCTTAGGTAAGGATTTGGATACAGTACATGGAACAAGTATGTCCAAGCTGACTCTGACTGGGCTATGATGATTCACATGTTCATACCGACCCCCACTAGAACCACACTTTTCTAGGAACCCCCAGAGGCTGAAAATGTGCATAGGCAATATATGCAGGGGCTTCAAAGAGTTGGTGGAAAATTCCCTTACCTTTAAATTTCATTTCTCCATGAATATTTTTAAAAAATATCATTTTATTGGGGGCTATTACAGCTCATAATAATCCATATACTGTATATACTCGAGTATAAGCCGACCTGAGTATCAGCCAAGGCACCTAATTTTACCACAAAAGCTGCATTAAAAAATGTGCTGAAAAACTCAGCTTATACACGAGTATATACGGTATCAATCATATCAAGCATATTTGTACATAGTTGTCATCATCATTTTCTAAACATTTACTTTCTATTGGAGCCCTGGTATCAGGTCCTCTTTTTTTTCCCTCCCCCAGCCACTCCACCTTGTGACCCCTTGATAAATTATAAATGATTATTTTTATATCTTTAACTGACCGCTGTCTCTCTTCACCCATGGTTTCTGTTGTTTGTCCCCCTGGGGCAGGGAGGAGGGAGTGTTAATGTCAATCATTGCAATTGGTTCCCCCTTCCTCCCCTTTTCTCCCCACGTTTGCCCTACTCTCCTGGTATCGCTACTCCCATCTCTGTTCCTGAGGGGTTTATCTGACCTGGATTCCATGTGTAATGAGTAATTATCTGTACTAGCTCCGGTCTAGCCAGAACTGAAAGGCAGGACTGGGGTCATGATAATGGGGGTTGAGGAAGCCACAAGGAACCAGAGAATATTGTGTGTTTCATTTGTGCTATAAAGCACCCTGGTTGACTCATCCTTTCCTTGTGACCCTTCTGTGATGGGATATCCCATTTTCTACAGATAGGTTTTGGGTCTCTGCTCCAACCCCCCTTGTTGTCAACAATGTTTTTTTTGTTTGTTTGTTTTTTTGCTTGGGGTCCTCTGATGCCTGTTACCCTGTTCCCGTCAACACCTCATGATTGCACAGGCTGGTGTGCTTCTTCCATGTGCGTTTGTTACTTCTCTGCTAGATGGCCACTTGTTTAACTTCAAACCCTTAAGACCCCAGATGCTCTATCTTTTGATAGCCGGGCACCATCAGCTTTCGTCACCACATTTGCTTGTGCACCCATTTTGTTTTCAGCGACCATGACAGAATGCCAGGTTATTAGAACAAAGTGTTCTTGTGTTGAAGGAGGGTTTGTGCAGAGGCTCAAAGTCCATCACTTCCTCAAAGTATTGCCACATAAATATATGTACATAGACCAATACCTGAATTTTTATGAATTAATATATTTACATATGTGCACACCTATGTTTATACCTCTATTTATAGCTTTGCTTCCTAGACCTTTCCTCTGTTAACTTTTACCTTCCTCCTGTCCCACCATCATGCTTGCCCTTCTGCCTCTTAGTAATTCCTTTCAGCTAAATTGCTATTGCTGCAACACACCCAGGATCTCTAAGTCCTCCTCGTTGTTGCTTTTAATTCCCTAGTTGTTCCCCTATCTATGGCATTGTTTGCTCATTGCCCTTCCCCCACTTCCTCAGAACCTTCAGCCCCATTTTTTTCTCCTCGGGCTTGCTTCCCATGTCTGTCTTATATGGATAGGAAAACCAACAATAATCTCCTTGAACATTTTGAAGTGCTTGCATATGTCCCTCAAATCATGAGTTAAATTGCATTTGGAAAGTAAGGGTCACAGCTGGATGGAGTCAGGCACCTTATGTGTTTTGATCAGGAGTCAGCTGGTTGATTTGAGGAAAGGGAGACACTTGCTATCCAGGGAAAGTAGCACGCATGTGTACACAAGTAGCAAAACCAAATCTGAAATGAGTGACCAGCTGGCTGAGAGTGAGCTGCTGGCTCTTGGCTAGACAAGTGGATCCACAAGACCATGGACCTCAAGTTTGTCTTTGACTTTACTTGAAGGGTTGTGTGCTGGATACCCAGGGAGTCAATTCCACACACGGGTTCTGTGACCCACCCCCTGGATGTAGGGAAGGCCCTTGCCCTGGATACGGTCCAGCTGCATGACCCACAGCACAAAGGACAAGTCACAGGTGCCAGGACGGACTTGCCACCTGCTGTGTCGCTGTCATCACCCTCTGACTTGGTGACTGTAGCTTGTTTTGAACTCGCAGCTGGAAGACTTGAGCTGTTTGGCCTTAAAAACAAAGTCTGGCCCAGTCAGGTGAGGTAGACACAGCATCAAAGGGGCAGAGAGGGGCGGGTGGACCAGAAACAAGGAAACCCCTCGCTTCCTTCTGCTGGTGCCTGTGAGGGAAGGCCGACTGCTCCCAGGTGTCAGATCCTCTCAGAGGGTGACTCTTCCCGGATGATAGGCCCTGGGTGGCAAGGGTCACTTCTGTTTCATGTGCCACCTTTGCCCCAGCTCAGCACAGCACCTGCCATGTGGGGGACCATCAGTGGGGATTGGAGTAAGGAGTAGATGGAGAGACAGGAAGCATTCACGACAGTTAAGGTTCCACATTGAAGGCAGGAAGGGGTCTTTTCATTTCACTTTAGCTCTAGAGAATGTCATCACAGTTAGAGTGTAGTCAGAATTTGCCCAAACTCACCAGGAGTCTCCTGCACCAGCTTTCCCTTAACACACACATATGCACACATTGACTTATGGCTGTCTCCCTTTCTGCACCCAGTGTCTGATGTTCCCTTTCCTTCAGATTTGCATCTGGCCCACTCTCTTGTCATTTACCATGGTTTCAAGTTGTCTTCAGTTTTGTACTGTGATCTGGTGAAAGCTGGCAGAGCAAATTCAACCATTCACGTGTGTTTAGTTTCGTGACACAGCGTGGCTGTGCTCCTGGGTTTCCCGGTTCCCTTCCTGCCTCCTGAGCTTCCTCCCTGGCCTCAGGCTGCCCTTTCCATCTCCTGTGGCTGGTTGTTCAAGGAGTGTGCTTGTACTCCTGTTTTGAGGCCAGGCTGAAAGTTGAACCCCTGGTGAGTTCAGTTCCAGGTTTGAAGGGTTATGAAGGACCAGTCTCTGGGAAGTTTCTAGCTTTTACAGCCCTGGGGTCTGTTCTCTTGGTGACTCCGAACCTCCCCCATCCCCTGCCTGCAGAGCTCAGAGCCAAGGGGATGGGAGAGCAGGCAGCTGCCATCTGGCCATGCTGGGGTCCACACCCAGGAGGGGTCCTTCAGGTCCCCCAGGTCCCACTTTAATGATCCTGTGCACAGAGCCTCTGTGCCTTTCTGTCTCCATCTCCATGGATTCCTGTCTGCCCTATGAGGAAGGCAAAGGTGAGCCACCACCCACAGCTCAGGGTCACAGAAGCACCCAGCGGCCCTGTGCCAGCCAGGGATGCCAGACATACTCTGTCTACCTCAGGGGGCTCAGAGCCACCCCTGGGGCAGGCTGTGAACCCTCTGTCCCTGCCTGTGGAAGGCTGGTGATCCTGACTTGAAACCTATGTGTCTGAGTCTCTCCTCAGCGCAGATGCCAGGAGAGATGCTTGCAGGTCATTACCCACCAGTCCTGGTTCTCACTGTGAATGTTTCCAACTTGATATTTGAAAGGCAAACATTGAAATATTCCTGTCAGATGTTTGTCAGCCCTTCTGTAGCCACAGGTTAAGACTGATTACTGGTCCCTTTCCCAGGTCGGAGAGCCGAAGTGTTTTACCACCGCCGACCGCAGGCGAGGCCAGCGCTGTGAGGTGAAGCTTTACGACGAGACAGAGGCTTCCTTCGCCATGCTCTGGTAACCCCTCCTGCACTGCCACTGAGACCAGGGCCACAGTGGTAAAGCTGATCTGCTTCCAAGTGGCCAGTGCTACAACCCAGCCAGGCCCACACAACAGAGTAGAGCAGGTCCGAGGGGTTCCAGGGTGGTCAATATTAAGCTGGTTGGTTCAAACTGCCCACCTTTCAATTAGCAGCCCAGGGCTTAACTCACTGTACCACCCAGGTACCCTTGTGGACTGTAGCCCCAGCATAACACAGTCTCCAGACAGGTGGTGTCATGGGCTCCACAGTGACCCTTCTGCCTAGTGATGGTCAATGCAGGACTCCGGGCTGGGGTCTGTTAGTGACGAGTGTGACATGCCAACGCAGCTATCACCCTTGGAAGCACTGCTTGGCTACCCAGTTTGATGTAGACGGGTGTGTTTGCTACAGGGCTGCCTTCCCACATAGGCAGTGTGGTGTGGCCTACATACTGCAGCACCCCCAGCAACCTCCCCTCAGCCGACCACCTCTGGGATATCATGTCTCTGCTGCTCTTTGTAACACAGTCCATCTGTTTCCTCTTTTTTACAAAATCCAGCTGGGATAATGAATCTATTTTGCTTGCTCAGAGCTGGACGCCGAGAGAAACAGGTAGTATACTGCCCACGTGTGCTGAGTCTTTTACCTCCCCCACCGCTACCTCGAGGGGATTACAAAATGTGTTTCCTCCCAAACAGTGATATTTGCCTCTGATCTAAGAATAAGTTTTGACAAATTTCGCAACTGTATGACTGCAACTGTGATTTCAAAAAGCATCATTACAACCAACCCAGGTAAAAGCTCTTTCTCGTCTCACTGGGAACGACCTCCCTACACATCCCAGGGCTCAGGCAGTGTCTTTAGGGGTAGAAAAGCAATTTGAGTGTGATTTTAATTAAAAGAGGAAAAATTGTTTTCTATAATGACATTTTGTGTTTGACACCCCGGTTTATGGATACTTTCTGCCTTTTCTAAGCTGAATGCTATGAGAAAGGACAGACAAAAGAATGCACATCACTGTCTCTGTTCTAGGGGGCCTGGTGGCACACTGTTACTCCCTCATGGGGCCGCACTGAAAGGTCAGAAATTTGAAACTACCAGCATCCTGCTGGAAAAAGAGGAGACTTTCTACTCCCATAGAGAGTGACAATCTCAGAAACTCACAGGGCTGTTTTCCCCCTCAGTCCTGTAGCGTCAGGATGAGTCGAAATCCACTCAATGGTTTGGTTTCAGTATCTTCAGAGTTCTCATTTCATACACCATCTACAGCTCCGACAGTAATGTTTCACCATTCACATGCGCAGTGCGCGGCATCACTGTGATCTGTGCACCCATGTGCTGCAGGCATCCTGAATATCAAAACCTGGCAGTGCTGTAAAAAGCCCCACAGTTCACATACAGCCAGCCAGTAAACCCAGTAAAAGCCAGTGAGCTTTCCAAAGAACAGACCTCCTTTCCTTTAACTGATGCCCATAGTGTACCTTCGGTTATTTCAAGAGGTCTTCTGTGATTTCCTAATCTGTGATCTGCCCTTGTAAAGGGGGCTTCAAAAAAGTTTGTGGAAAATTCCATTATTTTACAATTTCCTTTTTCCACGAAACTTTTGACTTCCCCTTGTGTGTTGTTTTATTAGCCCAGTGCTGTGGGTTAGGCATCCAGAAGCTCATGGAGGGTGCTTCTGCTGAGTCCTTGTTCCCTGCTAGCTGGGCTTGGGCCAGTCCTGCTTCTCAGGGTTAGGCTCCTCTTAATGAAGTCAGGAGACAGTTACTGTCAGGGAGCATTCCTAGCATGCTCTGAGCACAGGCAGGGGCCAGCCTGACCTGTAGAAGAGCCTGCAGTGACCCATGTGACCTTGGCATCAATGCAGTCGTCTGGTGCCTCCTTACTTATGGCAGGTAAAGCCGCTCCATAGGTTTTTCAGAAGCTGCTTGCCAGGATTCCTGATTCAGCACCTGGGGGAGGACTCCAACCAGGAACTTGAGTTGAGCACTTAACCTACTGCATCACCCAGGATACCAGAAAGCACACAGCCCCTTGCAATTTCAAGAAGATACAAATATAAACAGGTCATTTTACAAGCATGATCCTGGTCAGTGGTCAGTAAGGAGCTCTGGTGGCACTGTGAGTTAAATGTTGGGCTGCTAACCACAGTGTCAGCAGTTCAAACCACTTGCCACTCTCCAGGGAGAAGGATAAGGCTGGCTGTGCTCATCTAAGTTTACAGTTTCAGAAACCCCATATAGGGACACATAGAGTCAGCACCACCTTGATGCAGTGGGCTTGCACTGATCAATACGTTATGCAGCAACCATGCCTCTGACCACCCTGCTGACAGAGCTTCTAGAAGGTGGCACAAAGGTGATAAGGCTGTTTGCTCTAACTTCTGTGCAACCACTCTGTGGGTGGCAAGATGGGCTCTGTGTGACACCCACTGAGCTTGTGTTGACTGAGCATGAGCCCTGTCCAGCAAAGATGACACGCTCAGGGTCCTGGCATATTTGAGAAGACAGCAAGACCCAGGGGTGCTGGGTGTGGGGGTCAGGTTTTAGTTTTCAGTAGGGTGTCATGTCGGCCTCCCCGGGAAGGTGATATCAGAGTAGAGCAGGCCAGAGTGGAAGAGGTGAGTGGAAGAGATGTGTGATATAAGAGCAGAGGGAGCAGCCAGCGGGAAAGACCTAAGGCAGGTGGGAGGAGCGACTGTGGGTCCGAGGTAGAGTAAGACGGTTGGTCAACAGGGGTGTCCTGTGCTGGCTCACTTCCCTCTCTTATCTCTCTTTAAGATACCCCAGAAGCTAACATTCTACTGAACTTTGTAAGAAAAAATACAGAAAATGCTCAGGATAGTGACTTTGACAGTTACCTGAAAGAATCCATAAACTGTAAGTGGCCCTTTAATACTACTTGAACATTTAAAAGATCAGAATATGGGTCTGTGAGGTTTTGCTTGACACAATGAAAGTTGTTCTGTTCTCATTTCTGTTAGATTTTCAGTTTTAAGAAGGTAATTACAAACTTTGAGGGGTTTATAATATTTTCACCACAATCTGACGTGAGTAAACGACTCTCTTCGTGGACAGCTGTGCACATATACTGCATTGGGCACACACTGAAAGTCCAAGGCGTCCAGGCTGAGGCTCAGCCCCCAGAGACTCTGTTGCCGTGTGTGGCTGAGTGGGCCCGTGGGGGGGAGGTGAGGAGCCTTGCTGCTCCCTGAAGGTGTTGTCTCTAACCTCCTTCTAGGAGACCCCATGTTTTACCACCATAGTGGACACTAAGTCACCTCCAGAGAGTAACAATTGAATCAGCCATGAAGTAATTATTCTGCCAGTTCTTCATCAGACACAGAGTTGTGGGCAAGCTGCTTCCTTAAGGACAGTTGGCTTGGTTCCTGTCAGCTGGTAGAACAAAGATGCCAGAAGGGCAAGAGTGAGCAGTGACCTTTGTGGGAGGAGCAGGGGTTGTGCCCTTCACTGGAGGGTGGAGAGAGGTGAGCCCAGCGTGACCAAGGCAAAGGAAGACGTTCTGAGGACCGCCAGAACAACAGTGTGCCATGCGGCAGGGCTGGCTGAATATATCCTACGGAATGTACCACCCCTTGTTCTCCCTGTCATGGATTCCGGCTTTTCCTGTAACACAGATGCCTGTGTCTGTGTGCATGGGTTTGTAGAGGAGTCTGCATCTCTGTGGGGCGTACACCAGGAGTGGAACCGCTCCATCAGGTGTTTGTTCCCTTGGATTGCCGAGGCCTGTCACGACTTAAGAGTCCCGCCAGCAGGTTTGGAGAGTTCCACCTACATGCTGTTCATCTTCTCAATGGGACCCTCTCATGGACTCCAAGTGATGTGTATCAGCACTCACCATGATCGATGAGGTCAATATGTTTAGTAGCCTATTTTATATCTTTTTGTGTGTGTGATTGTAAATATGTTTTGTATTTCTGGAGAAATGTTACAGAGCAAATCCGGTTCTCGTCAGATAACTTCTGTACCTAGTATTCACTCTTTCCTCCACCACGTGTCCCATGTTCTCCTGGCCTCCATCCTGGTGGCTCTCATTCCAGTGACCCAGCGTCCCTGCCGCACCCCCACCCCACCCCACTTCCCTTGCTCACCTTTGGCCTAGGATAGATATGAGTGTTAGGCCTCTTTTAGGTGATTGTCGAGAGGGGTGATATTATTTACTTTACAAGCCACTCTGTCTTTTGACTGAGAGGGGCTTTGGGGAGCAGTTTAAAGGGTACCGTAGTCTTAGGGTTCCTCCGGTCTCTATTGGTCCAGGAAGTATGGCCTTCTTTAGGAATTGGGTTTTGGTTTACATTTTTCTCCATTCTATCCAGGGCTGTCTGTTGTGTTCCTGGCAGGAACCTCGGTTCTTTTTGTTGATCCTGCTTTAGAGTTGAAGAAACAGGGTCACAGTAGTGCTTGCTCAAGACCATGCAGGGAACAGGAGCCGGCAGGGAACCAGGCTGTCCACTCCCAGAGCTGCTTTCTTCACCCTGCACGGAGCTGCCTCGAGACTCTCCCATGGGTCTCTTCTTTTCACCTCTTCTTCCTTGACTGCTGGGGTTCTCTGAGGCTCTGTCCTCAACTTTCTCCTTCCTAGACTGTGTCCCGGTGACATTTCATTCACTTTTCAAGCTTTTCATATCCACCTTTTCTGCCAGCTTCCTAATGAGAACGCTGTTAGGTGGAACTGTGCTTGCATTGTCCACGGCCCTACCGTGTCGGCTACCACAGGCACCAAGGATGGCTGTTGTCAGAATGAGTGCCAACTCCAGACTTGTTACCATCAGCCTGGACCTGCACTCCAGACTACAGTGTCCCACTGCCCACCCAACATGAGCAAAGATGTTAGCCAACACCCAGAGTGTTAGTGTGGAAGGGGAGGAGTGTTCCAGGTCCAGGCTGAACTCTAGCACTGCCCGTGCACAGACGCCTGCCTCATGGCTTTCTCCAGCGACATAGCATTGCTTTTGCTTGGTTGGACTGAGGCCTACCTTTTAAATGAGTTCCTCATTTTTAAAACTAAGCCTACCATCTTTTTCTTTCAGATCCCTAAGAGTCCTTTAGAATTCTGAAAACGGGGTCTTTGCTCATTTCAAATCACTACGCGCTCCTCCCTGGGACTGGCGTTTCACTCTTTCAGTGACCAGACCCGCCTAAGTTCACTGGTGACTGATTTCTCAGCTTCTTCTACTTTGGCTTTGGTTTTTGACTGTTCATATCACCAGTTTGAATATAGCAAACTAGTATTTCTTCTGATACTGAAGCTACTACATCTTCTCATGTGAACTGTGTGGCATTTCTATCTGGATGTGATCTCTGCAGTTCTTCGAGCCTATGTAAACAGGAACCACTTGTCTTATATTTGTTCTTAGTGAATACAATAGTCGATGTGTACACAGTGAAGCAGTTAAAGGTGAGAGCTTTGAAGAAGGACGGGAATGCAGACCCTGTCTACGGCATCCTGTACGCTTACATGTCAACACTGAGCATCGATGATGAAACCACCAAAGCTGTGCGCAATAGATGGTGAGCAGCCAAGGGACTCTCAGCAAATCCCCCTCTGTCTCTAAGAAACAAAGCAGGCTCCTTACTATGTACCAAGCCTCTGAGGTACCGCTTCCTTTTGATGGCAAGTGGGAGGGTTCTGTGCCAAGCTATTTTGATTCAGAGATTATCATTTCTTTTTAAAATAAAATTTAATCTGCTATATTTCTGTGATCCTAAAAAGCCAAAGCTGTATTACGGACAAACGTGCATCTGGTGTGACAAACGGCACTCCAATAACTTAGGACAAGACTACTGTGCTTGCCATGCCCTTCACTCACGCAGCGACAGCATTTACATTTATATACCCGCATCCCATGGCTGGATGACCAGGGTTTCCAACCCCCCACGCAGGCCCCTGCTGCCTCGCAGACAGACACAGTGTTCCCCTGCAGTTGTGAGAACAGCACAGAGGTGGCCGGGCACACCAGACTCAGGCTTTCCCTGCCATGGTGTTTGGGGACTACAGTTGGAGGTCAAGGCCACAGCCCAGGGTATTGACCTGGATAGCCCACCACCTCTCAGATCTGCCGACCAGTGGCTGCATCCTGTGTGCATGGCATGTGTGTTGTGCGTCATGCATGTGCACATGCTGTGTAGCTTAATCACACGTGGAGGGTGTGTGTGTGTGGTTTTTTGTGATCTGGGGACAAAGTTGGCAAACAAACATGGCAGCTGCTGGGGCATGGCATGTGCTAAGTTTTTGAAAACTATTTTTCAAAGTATTTTTGGTCCCATATTTTTCCTTCCATTTCTAATAATTGATCTGAGGAAATGCATCTAAATTTTACTACAACTTGATCTTCTGGCTAGACAAGAAGCCACTCCCTCCCACTCCATCCTCTAGTTGAGAAATTTCAGTCTGGTCAGCTCCTCAGGAGTGGGGAACAGCATAAGGTGGCGCTCTGAAGGGTGTGTCACAGCATGGAGGAAGCCCCTGGGCATGCTGTACTTGCACAGACGGCCCGGTGGGAATCAGCTGCTCTGAGAAGGGGTGGAGGAGAGTGGAGGACAGAGGGGCAGTGGGAGGGAAGGATGGGACAGCAGGCCATCCAGTTCTGCCCATGAGTTCTGGGCCAACCAGGCCCATGGAAATCAAATGAGATTGCAGCATGCAGCGCAGTCTCAAGATGGTGCCCTGCAGTCCCTCTGTCTGTCCATGTCCTGCGTGGCAGATGCTCCACAATTTGCCAGGGGCTGGCCCAGCCATCTCAGCGTCATTCTTGAGAGAGCCGACTTACCCTATTTTTGTTCTCTCTGTTCCTTCTCAGTTTGGGCTGTGGTTATATCGTGAATGATGAAACCAAAGCCTGTTCCACTTGCAACAAGGACTCTTTGGCCTTTCCGTCAGCCTGTCCTAGCTTGGACCTTCTTGTCGACCTCACTGACCACACAGGCACCCTCCACTCATGCAGCCTCGCCGGGAGCACCGCTGAGGAAACACTGGGTTGCACAGTAAGGCCAAGGCAGGGGAAGCCCCGAGACAGGACAGAGCGAGGGGCTTGCTCCCCAAATGGAGGCTCTTTGGTGACCTTGTAGTAGGAATGGTGTTGCTAATGGGATGTCCGTCTAGACATCTGCACATCTGCCGGGCCCAGGCTATGTGTGAAATCGTAACCTGTGGGCTTCAATCCAAGTGCGGGTTGGGGTGTCCCAGGAAACAATGTAGTTGGAAGCTGTGGGGAAGCAGCTCCCTAGAGACTGGTCAGTCACGTGAAGCCTTCCAGATGGGTGCATGGGTGGGAGTCTTAGCCTGAGCTCTCCCTGGACCTGATGCTGTCAGGTAGGCAGATATGAAGATAAGCTGGTACCTGCTCAGGGGACATCCCAGGACACTTGTAGTCCAGACCTTGTCTGTAATCTGCTACTCTGCCCTCAGAGTCCAGGTGGATGCCTGTGCCAATCTTGCCTCCCTTCACTGTGGTCACAATGAGCCAACTGTCCTCTTCTCGTTCCATCAGGTCAACGAGTTTCTAGTGATGACAGCAGAGCATAAAACGGCCTTAAAGTGGCAATTTCTTTTGGAAAGAAGCAAAATTTATTTTAAAGTGAGTATATTTGGCAGTGCTGCTTTGTTCTGTATGTTCAGCCACTAAGACAGCTGAGGCTAGGGACCAAAGCACTTAGGGAACATTTGATTGTTACTAACACCCAGCTCCAGGTGTGTACATCCGGCTGTCTGAGAAGGACTGGGGCTTCCTCAAAGAGGAAGAGACGTAACATCCCTGCCCCCAGCTGCTGCCTGAGAACCAACCAAGGGAACTGAAGTTTTATGCTCCCACCACTCATAAGATCCACATATTATTAACACTGGTATTGTTTAGTCCCTGGGCCACGGGATGTGAGTGCTCAGCACCTGCCCTCTGTGATGGCCACCCCATTCTCCTTTGGGAGACTGGCTGACTGGACTACACTTAGGAGTGTGAGTCCGTGGGGAGGGGCCCAGCTTCACAAGCTCTCAGGGACTTTGAAGGCCTGGGAACCACGCCGGAGATTCCCACCACCATTGTGCTTGGGCCTCTGCTGTGTCCCCCGGCAGCCTAGCCTCGCAGCCCTCAGCTCTGGCTGGGTCTGCCCTGTGGCTACAGCTCTATGGGGCAGAGGAGCTGCTCGGCAGGGCTCCTTTGGAAGCTGTAAATCTTTATGGAACCAGATCACCTGTCTTTCACTGATCAGGATATGAGGTCATGATTCATTAGTGATGTGTACTATTGCAATTTACGTACATAGTCATAATACTATATCGATAATTACCATATATACTCGAGTATAAGCCAACCCGGATATCAGCCGAGGCACCTAATTTTACCACAAAGACTGCATTAAAAATGTGCTGAAAAACTCGGCTTATACACGAGTATATACAGTATGTCCTCACGCTCCTTGTCATCTAATAGTTAATGTCATCACTGAGGATCTGTGTTCATCAGAAATCCATGTTTGGGCCACACCTTCAGCCCTTTGCTCCACGGTGTTTGATGGTAATCCCAACTGTCCCATGCCAGAGCAGTGTTATGAAAAATGGCGTGGACTTTCCGGAAATGTGGTAGCTCCACCACACTCTGAGTGGGACCCGCCCACTTGCCACCCAGCGTGTAGTGGAGGCTCAGGGACCTCTGCAAACGAGACTTCCATTGCTGCTCTCCAGTCCTGGTGCTGGTGCTCAGCCTCATCTGCTGGGGGACTTAAAAGCAACTCTTCTTCTCCCGACAGCTGGTTCTGTCACCGCGAGCGAGGGGTGGCTTCAGAATTAGCGTGCTCTCCTGTAAGCTTGCCGATCCGGTGGAGGCGAGCAGGAGCTTGTCTGGACAAGGAAGTACTTAGACGGCTATTGTTTGAGACTTGGACAAATAGAGTTTTAGCTCCCCTTAAAGTGGACTGTTGTTTGTAAATCAAAGATTTTGACCAGATGTGCAAAACATGTTTCTAGAAAGCACTGCTTGCTTCTGGATGGAATTGGCCTGAGGAGGAAGTCTCCACAGAGGCCACTCCGCCAGCTCCAGGGGAAAGTGTCTGATGAATAAACAAGCTCATCTTCCCACAGATGGGTGCTTTCTCCTCTGGAGCCATTTGATTCTTTGTCTCGTTTTCCTGAAGAAAGCCCCTGGGCCATGGGGTATGAGGGAGCACCCAGCACCTGCCCTCTGTGATGGCCCACCCAGCTGTGTAGCCTTTGGGAAGATGGCTGACTCAGCTCATACTTAGCTTACAAGTCTGAATCAGCAGGGAGGGGCCCGCTTCACAAGCCTCTCAGGGACTTTGAAGGCTGGGGAATTCACACAGCAGATTCTGACTGCAGCCGCACCTAGGGCTCAGCTGTGTTCCCTGGAGCCTCACACCACTCAGCTCTGGCTGGGTCTGCCCCTGCAGTTGGTGGCCACACTGCCTGGTGCTCTGCAGGTGTCTAGTGTGCTGGCGGGCTGAACTTCAGGAGGTCCCTCCACCCACAGCAGGACTGAGGAGGAAGGAGGCTGTAAGTCAAGCCCTGTGTTGGGAGAAGAGCCAGTCCGTAGCTTGCATCAGCTGTAGCCAGGGCTGGGATGCCAGGACTCATGGGTGGTCAGGCAGTGCAGGTGAAGGGAGTGAGGAAGGCCTTTCCCTAGCTGTTCTTGCTAAGAAAGGTGAAGGGATTGGGTGGGGAAGGGAGGGCAGCCTCATGGTGAGAGGTGAAGGGGTGAGGAGGGAAGGATAGACAGACAGATGGGTGTGTGGTGCATGGGCAGAGGCCAGGCAAGAGAAAGTTAGTGTGGGTGTCAGGAGTTGACTTTACACCTTTGAGCGAGGTTAAGCAAGACTGGAAATGGTGTGAACTGTGTGCCAGGGTCTGCACTGCGTGAGGGCGTCTGGGCATCTCAGGTGGACTTGAACCACCAGCCTTTCCTTAGTAGCTGTTAGTGCCATTGAGTCAGTTCCTGCTTGGTCCTGCACCAATCCTCACAATGGTTATGGTTGCAGCTCTCAATAAACTCAGTGCCATGAGTCAATTCTACCTCATAGAGATCCTGGACAGGGAGAACTGCCCCGTGGGTTTCTGAGACTGTCACTCCTCACAGGAAAAGAAAGTCCCCTCCTCCTAGGGTCACAGCCAACTTGTAGCCACTGCGCCACCAG